CGAGTGTAAGGTTGTTCCTCGCCCTTGCTGAATTGCTGTCTTTTCTGTGTAGCCGGTACAATATATTCTGTGTCCAGCTGTCTCGACCGTTCTGTATTTACAAGGTTTCGTATGTGTTATCGCTATCGACCAGCATCCGAGGCCTACCTAATACAGCCCATGTACGAAGCGGAAACGTTGCGGCGGAGTCATGATGTTTGTTAACGTTTAGTTGCACCTCTCAGTGCAAATTCTCTACTACACGTCACAGTGTATCGCCCACATGGTCTTAAAGTGTAAATCAGGATATCTGATTGAACACCTTATACATTTTACTGGCTATTATTTAAATGTTCCTCATAGTGTCCAAACCAAGTAGTCGAAAATTGTACGAGGATTTTACAGCCGCCGTTATTGAGAAGATCAACGAACATCTCTACTAAGGTGGTAGTGATTTTAATATATTGGACATCACCATTATTATAATTCACGGGTTACAGAACGTGGTAAATCGTTACCTGAAATTAAACTGAAATTCTGTTTTAATTTCATTTGTGCGGCAAAAGCCGTTGTTATCTGTGATTATTGCTTTTTTCATTGCACCTCAAGCAACGTTGTGGACTTAAGGAGAGGGTTTGAAAAAAAAACCAAAGACCGTGATTTCGTGCAGTCTTTCTTGCCCGTATTAAGAAGAAAGTGTACAACCTCAATTAAACCTATGACCAAAATTTCAAGAAACAACTGCCATTGTGATATTTGGCGGGTAGTGAAACAACTCAGCGGAATCCCCTGCCATGGTACAAATGTTGTCGTGGACATATAAGTAGTACGTGGTAACTTCTGCTGCATCAGCAGAATATCTGGAACGACCTGCCGTAGCACATAATAGAGGCGAACTCAGTGTCCGAATTTAAGAAGCTCCTAGACAAACACTTTGCAGAGGCAAAATATATGGAGCGGAACGATAAATAAGGAGTACCTGTCCAAGAGCGACGAACGATGCAGCTACATAGCGAAAGCTCTACTGGCTGCTTCGAACCAGTAATCAGTAATCAGCGAGAGCGTATTCCCTGACTGCTGCATCTGTACCATCTAAGTGGTCTACGGACTCACTGCTTCCTGCCGCGGTTGCATGGCTACGCGAGAAGCTAACCCAGCTACACTCAGGCAAGGCATACGGAAATGACAGGTCGTATTCTATCATCTTCAAGGAAAGTACGATTTCTACTCTCCGATCAATTTGTATACAACCCGTATACAGTAAATAGAAATCGCGGATGGTTGGAGGATTGCTAACGTACGCCGATACAAAAGAAACGGATGGATAATTTTCAACCTATTGCAAGCACCTTATTGACTGAAAATTTCGATAACATTGTGTTAGAAAGAATCGGGGCGCTGTACTGTTTGGATGATCCCTCGCAGTTTGGTTATCGAAGTTCAAGGTCCACATAATACGCATTAGCTCTCCCTGTGTATTCATTGTTATCGCCGGTAAAGGCAGGAATAGAGAGTCCACACGTGTCTGCTTACTTGACTACAGCAACGCTTCCGGCTGAGTTAACCGTGAATTCATGTTGCAAGACCTGCACATTGTCATTCCCTATTCTTCTTCCTAAAGGATTATTTCGCCAAACATACTCAGTGCACCAGATTGGGCAGCAAAAATTCTTCGCAACTTACTACAACTCCTGGTATCCTCCAAGAAGCCATTTTGTCACCATTATTGTGCTCTAATTACGTTAGCTCTACACCTGTCCCAGAGCAAAGAATTCTGTTAGAATATGCAGCTGACCTTATCATCAGAGTAAATCATCCCACCTCAGATTCCCAAACCAAACCGCAAAAATGTTTAGACAAATTAGGGAAATAGTCGAATCCCGTAGCCTGATGCTGAACCCACGCAAGTGCAATGATATTCCGTAGTCACCTCATGAAACATCTTGTTACCAGGAACTTGTCACGAAATCACCAAAACCAGAATTTTGATGACAACATTAGCTTCTTTACCTCAGTGAAGTGTCTTGGAATCACATTGAGCCACGATTATTTTGGTCACTCCACGTGAATCAAATATTCACCAAATACAGGCGACGTTCATTTTTACGTCGCTGGATTGCGATCTTTGGCTGCACCACTCAGTTTGATTCCGAAGTTCATTATCGAGTGTGATATGCCACAGTAGACTTTTGCTCTTCTTTGGGATTTTTCCAGACCCACTATGTAAGCATTTAATGTTGTTTACCAGGCACTGAAACGCCTGTTTCGCTAGTGGCGTCGTTTAACCAACTTTGACTAAATTGTACCTATTTACGTCAGTTCTTACACAACACGCGTTCCCCACATTTATCACCCTTTCGCATTGCACCAGCCAAGTGTATATCTACCTCCTCCAGCAGGCAAAAGTACAAAGGGCTTGTGTTCCGTCGGTCTCTCCCTATGGAGCCAGATTTTTCTCTGACCAAAACGCGATAAGCTAAAAGGTGGTCGCTAAACTTTGCTAGTCAGAGCTTGCATTTTATTAACCTTTTTAGTTTACTGTTGTTCTATTGCTATGGGCTTGTTTTTCTGTCATGCCGATAGCAGGTGTGTTACAGTTAAACCCACTTGACTTAATTTGTGCTGATGCCTATGTGATTATTGGAAAAGAACCAGTGCATCCCTTGATCCACTGTTAAAGCACATATGCGTCGCTTTCACAGTGTGTGAATGAGTTAACTAGAAGCTAGTTCAATGTTCTAACTACATGCTGCATAGAATGCCTCGTTTTTTCTTTGGATAATCATTTGGTGTGCGTTCCAGCACCTAGATGATCACACGCCGAATACCAACCTGTACAACCTAGTGGATCAAGCACAGCAGTATAGACTAAGTTGGTATGGTGAATATCTTATTTCAAACACTGTTTCCTATAGAATAAAGTAGAAATTTTGTACCTACTAATGTTGATCTATTAGTTGTTAGAGTAGTACAGATAAGTGACACCGGAGTTGTAGCAAATGGCGCACACTATCTTCTGCTTTTGTTCCTGCTTGATGATTTTAGTTGGTGTTTACAGGACTCCTGCAATAAGTCAATTATGACGATAGCAAGCCATACAGATAGACCAGTACAAACGGCATTTAACCTCTGCTCACGGCACACTCCCATTTGTGGAAATTGTTCGTCACGTATGCATGGTGACACCAAACAAATCAACAAGAGGCACTACTAAATTATTCGTTAAAAATGATTTCTTCATACTACCGAAGTAAGGTAATTAAAACAACAAACCTATTGACAAGGATCTAGTCGGTCACCACCCTGCGGTATTAGAAAAGATCGCATGCTAGTACACATCCATCTTAACTTCGTCATAGAAGAAGTTATGGAAATTCTGTTTAGCAGGCACCATTTGAAAGTTGTAGAGATGGTCCTCGGTGATCGAATTCCTATATTGGACTGCACGAACAATATTGCAATCATCTATGACGGCTAATAAACGTCCCAAACAGCACTGGACAAATTAGCAATAATTGTCATATGTTTCGGGCTAGGTTTCGTACCCCGTAACTAAAATGTCCTCCAGTATTCACAGGTACAAACTCTACACAGCTTCTTGGTCGATATCAACTACAAATCGCTCAGAAACTCAAGAATTCAGACCACAATATTAGCGTCCGTGGAATAGAAGATGAGGTTGCAAACCGTATGGCACAACCTTGAGGCACTTTTGCTAATCCCCGACATTGTGGAACCGGCTAGACATCACCTTTGCTCTGAAGTGCAGAGTTCACACCTCAAACGCACCTTCAACACCCGTGTACGGTGGCGAATGCTAGCTCATCAGTTCGACAGACATAAAGAGACTAAGTACATTCTATTATGGTCGTATTCGACGTTTATCATATGTCTGGGGGAAACACCGCGTGGACGAACTGCGCGCTCGGCTTCCTTCATTTGATGCGGGAAGAGCCAGTGTGTTGCTCTGCATCGTTATATCAGGCGCCTGGCTTCGACGGTTGCACGAGGTGCTGCGCGTGTCTGCACACAGACACCCGCAAAGTGCGATGCTTGCCCGCCGGAGGTTGGGATAGAAGAAGAGACGGCCGGCCAAGTGATGACTTTGTCAAGTGGATTGAAGGCTCTCCATTTCAGGTTGGTGTCGGTTGGTGTCTCATGACAGCGAAACTCGGTCCGGAGGATGATGAACACGTCTGGTTGGATGCACTATTTTACCTACTGAAGAGCCTATCTCGATGGCCTATATATTGTGAATTCCTTTGCCTTTCTCTGTCAGGTTTCTATTTCTACTGCAACCCGATCGCACTCTTGAAGCATGATATGGTAACAAGCGTTATGCTATCTGAACCTTTTCTCTTTTATCTTGTCTCGTGTAATGATTTATGTCTCGTGCTTTCATGTAACCAATCCACTTATATTGCAGCACAAGAGCTGATGGATTTCTCAACTTTAGCTAATACGTACTAATGAGCGGTAGTAACTTTACTGGAAAATAGCCGAAATCAGGTCGTAAGTATTTCATGCAACACCAAGGAAGAGTTTTCTAGCCACAAACTTGGACAAATCAAAAGGTCTCAATTATAGAGGTGTCTAAAACCGCCGGTTCAAAGGCATGTTACAACTGAAATGGTGCCAGTTTATCTGATTCCGTCAAACACAAAGTTTATCTTAAGCAGGGATGGAAGTGACACGGTTATCTTGAACTCTTGTTATCTTTGTCTTTTCCCTGATGTTTATCTACACAAAGACATAAGCCAAGCGTTTTTAGGTAAATCATACAAGTAGGCACACTAATTGCAACCGTCTTACATCAGTTCCATTGCATTAGATAGATCTTTTTCTGTGGTTTATACAGCTTCGCTAGTTTCCAAAGCATGAACAGATTTGTGTGCAGAAACATAAACATTCTAGGAACAATTTAGATGGTCCTAAGCAAATGTCCTCATTACTTATTTAACATGTATGGGTAGGTCTATGATAACCTCATTGTTGACTCTAGCTGGTATGTGAATTCTTACCGGTTTTAATTAAAGTGAGTGAGTTTTGTAGTTCACCGAGTGTCTCTTTGTCTACCAGACCCGAAGAAACTGCTTCATGTAGACGTTTGTCGTTGATGTCTCAAAGCTGTGGGACTCGATAATCTAAACTGCTCAAAGGACACATGCTTCTGCTTGTAAATGGTTACACCTAAATGTCCACATTTTACATCCTAATTCATTGGAATCATGAATTAGAAAATACAGATAGTGGGCTTCAGCAGTAGGTGTTGTAATTAACAAGTACTGAGAATATCTCATATCCAATGCGTTTTTGAATTCTATTTAGGCTGAAGGAAAACAGCAAGATAACTAGAGAACAGCAGAGGGATTTAGTGGATCTGTTAGAAAAGTTCGCTGAGTCTGAATAAGGCAGACATCCACCACACATCCAGCACAGCGCTTGACGGCCGTTTCCTCCCATTGAGAATTGTTAGTAAGGCGCTCCCGTTAAATCCTGTCGGATTCGAACCCACGACCAAACTTCCACGTTCCATCGAATGACGAAACTGAGCCACGATTGATAGCAACGGACCTTCGACAATCATCTAACTGCGATAAAGCGCAGATTATCCTCCGTTATCAGGCAATATATGAACCTGTTCTGAAGGCCAGCTTTATCCTCCTCATGTCCAAAACATGCACGACAGTAGAGGATGAGCCGCGCTAATTTGTAGTTGGATATTATTTCATTAGGCGGTTTGCTTCAGTCACCCAGTGTTCAGTTGCATGAATCGCTGGTCATGGGTCATGCGTCCGAAACTGCTAGGATTCGGAGAATGTGCGCTACTGACTTGTCCCAATAGGACGAGTTGGCCGTCTGGCGCTTTAATGTAGATGTGGTAGCTGTTTGGCTGAGTTAAGCTGCGGCGAACCTAAGCAAAATGGCTAGTTTACGTCAGACACTTGGCATTGTACTTGTAAGTAAGACACTCAATTGATTGCCTGATATTATCCAAATAGTTAACACAGAAGTTGCGAGCCTTTTACTAGTCTCCCAATAACACTTCTTTCCCGTGACATTTTCTTCCGCTTTTCGAGCTGATGTACGTAAAAAATTTCGGTGTTCGCAAAGTGGTATCTGATGCCAGTATTTTCCGTTTAAACTAATAGTTAACAAAAAGTGAACTTTTGCGTACAAGGTGATTTTGTGATCCAAAGTTATAGCAAGAGAAATGCGCAGGACTGAAGCCATATCTTGTTAGCATGCAATTACTGAACACCTGTAGGACGAACAAATGCAAAACTTGGAAACAAAGCACTGTAACGGTTTTCTAAGCCAAATCTGCATTTCAGTCTGAATACGTATTCAGTTCATCAGTAAGCAGCCAAAAACTATCATAAATACACTTTTAACAAACTTGTCCGAATGCAATGCATATTGTAAGTCCCTCCATGCTGCGATTAATTTAAAATAAAGTCTTGTAGTGGTGGAAGACGCAGTCTGTGATTCATACAACAATCTTCTGTTATATGAATCATTTACTTGGCAAGAAGTTTGATTTAAAAATTCCAACCCATGAACCACGGGTGTAAACTAAATATTTTCGATAGGGTTTTACCAATGCTGCACTTGGTAAGCGAATTTCTCTTATCGTTCTCTTTCAAATGAACTGGCTAATTCATTAGAATTATGTGCTAAACTAGATGCCCTTCACTATGGGAGCGTGTTTGTAATGAAGCGGCGATATTCTTGAATAATCGTTTGTTGCCGTCTTCTAAGAACCGGTGCAAGCTTTTACCGCACAAACGTTTCAGAAAGTTTGGATTTATAAGTAGTCGGTGGTGTACTTACTTGCTTAAAATTATAGTTCGATTAGTTCTACCATGTTGTACAAGTTTTTCTATCCGGAACAGGGGGACAAAAGAACCGTTGGGTGTTATTCAGAAGCTAAACGCGAGGGAAAACAGTTAGATTGTCTGGGCCCTAATTGTATTGACAAGCGCTACAAAGGATGGAGGGTAGGTAAGAAGGAGCAGACCTCGGTATGCAGGTTGATTAAACGAGGGGGAAAATGATTAATAAGTATAGATAGTTAAACGAATGCCCGCTTGGAAGAAAGAAATAATAATAAAATCTAATGTCCCCAAATACTGGATGGGTGAATTATTCATTTCCCTAGGGGACTTAAACCCGTATGTTGTCGACACATTTTACGACAATTTAGTAGCCGAGATCTTTCCTTCGAAGTGCAGCCTACCATCCTTCGAGGTGTTTTCATGTGGAACTACTGCGTCTTCGTTTAATGCTTTACTATTTGTTTCTTACAGACTAACTAGAAAAATGTGCTAGTTATGAAAACACGTTTTAAAATGTTGCGAGCGTAGGTAGTCATGGCGCCATGGACACAATGAAAACGGTTAAAACAAAGGGTAAAATAGTGAGTGTGAGCTTGTGTGTTGATAACTACAGCGGACATGATGCTCAAAGTACGGTCTAATTTGAAGGCCCAGCCGTCTTCTTGCAATTCCTAGCAGAGTTTCTGTTCACTGGTTTTGTGAGAATAAAGTCTACCTCTGGCTTGGTTATTTAAAACGGTCTCAGGCATGATTGTATAAATATAATCTAGAGTGTGATAAGTGCTGTCGTCTACTTTGACAACATTCATCGCAGCTAGACTCAGGCAGACAGTCGCCACACATTCAGGAGAGTGCTGGAATGCCTGTACCTACAAGTATAACTAATCAGTTACGCGGTCACCAAATCCTGCTGCATTCGAACTCCGGACTTTACTAACTCCTGACCTCAGACAGCGAATGATGCCACTGATTCAGATGTAACGGCGGCGGATCACTCTGGCTGACCTGTAACTGCGAAATAGAGCAACACATAGTTAATATCATGCATGTTTTGTACGGTAAGAAGATAGGGCTGTCCTCCAGATGAAAAACTTGCTATGCAAGCCGCTATCAGGCTGACCATTTATTTCGCTTGTTTTCATTATGAGTTGAGTTGTCATCTTTGGTGTGAGGAAATCGCTTAAAATGCCCAATTTATCGTTTAATATGTTTCGATCGTGCTTATCTATAGGATGCAAAACGTGTGTATCCATGAACCGAGTCTCAAGAAGCTGGTTATTGATTCTAACCACAAAATAATTGCCAAACATTCGTTCCTAACTGATAAATACTGTCACCTTCATTTTTTATTACTGCAGTTGCGTTTCTAAATGTTAGCGTAAACTATACTACGCGATGAATTCGAAGTCGGAATCCAAACTACAATGTCGGATAACTCGGGTTAAGAAGACTCAATGCATCAGATGACGCTAGTAGCTTTAAATTGGTGAGCAGAATCGTTGCTTGTGTTGTAATCACATGGCTAACAGACAGATCGGTTTTCCACCCAGTCCATGGTCTGCGCGTTGAATTAACTGCAAAAATATAGGAGGCAACGATGCGTTATATGTTTTAGACCAGGATTACTTGACCAGTATGGAGTTGCTTCCCGGAATGGGAACCGCTGCTTTCAGAAATTGACTTTCTACACATGGACACATTTTTGTGGTTATTATATACATGGACCTATGCATTCCCTTTTGTACGCGCACACAAGAAAATTGGCTGCCTACATACCATCAGTTAAAATGAAGACATTAATATCGTCTTTGCCTTGCTTGTCGCCGCAATTTCTGCCTATCTACCGTGATGTATTTTGGAGCGTTTTGAGACCAGACTCAACACAGTAATTGTTTCCAAATTCTGTAGGTGCTTGGTTGTTTCTAAACATTCGATCTGTACATAGGTATTCCGATAATTTAGCTTTAAATATTCCTAATTTCTTATAGAGCCTACGTCAAGTTGTTCTTTATACCGCTTCCTACATTGACTTCAGAAAAAGATATTTCTGGTCGTAGTTGCTGGAACAGAGTTGACTGACAGACTTGGCTTACGGTTGCAGGTGACACGCGCCAGCCATCTGTATTAAATTGCTGAACATAACTGGAACAATGATATAAACTATTACGAAAAATTATAGTTTGATAGACTCCCCGAATTTTGGCGTAAAATATCATCTCGGTGTGTAAGCATTAAAGACTGATTCATATTTCCTTAGGCACCTTGTGTTCAACATACGCTGAATGAAGGTGGATACTAATGTTATCATTGTCTTTCGATGTTGACGTGATAAGAGCATATTGAATCTAGACTTATTGGACAAAAATTAGATATCACAAATATTTGCGTCGCAATGTAATTGACCAAGTAATATACTTGCAACTACGCTGCATAATTTTGGTGGCCCCTCGTCTTTGTAATTGCAACATGTCCGAAAACTTTAATGGAAGCCAACAGGTTAGGTGTTATCGAGGTTAGTTTAGAATGTCACTAACATTTTCTCTGCCCATTATATTACATTTCGTTTGCGGGGTTGTTCTTGAAGGCAGCTCCAGTACTTTTACAAGTAATGCATCACCAAAGCTTACGTACTCCATCAACGGCTGTAACATCGCTGTTCAACTAGCGACGAGCTGTAAGCCACACGCAGCTTTCATCCAGCTCCGTCTATTACAATGTTGTCGCGATGACACTGTCTGGCCGCCTACAACGTTGGTGCGTTGTATTTTACTTCCTCGGTCTATTTCAACCCACGTACGCGCTGGACAAAGTGACCTTCAGTATAATCGATTGGGCGCATACAATAGGAATATTGCAACATGAAAGAGATTAACAACAATGCTGATTGTACGGTAGACTTTTAGTCATTACGCATCACGTGACAGGTCGATAGCAAATAACGGTCAATGAGGCACGTGCCCTTGCATAAAAGTTAGAATATGTTATTATGAAGTGATAGATGTGTATGAATCAACCCCACATTAATTAAATGTTCTGTCTTGCTTGCTTGGCTGAGATAGTTAGGTTATACACGAATTGCTGCTCATGTATGATCTGAACGAAGCAGACAGTTCGATGGGGTTCTGACGTCCAATTTTGTGGGTAAAACCTGGGTCAGTTTTGCATTATAATTTGCGAATAACTGTGTTCTTTATTATGAATGATAATTATTACACTGCAACCCAGCAGGAATTATGACTCAACTGCAACAAGCATACGTTTCGTTCGTTAATGGTCTGTAAAAGCTAATGAAAATGTAGCCTAATGTTAAAGCTTTATACATTAGACGTTGCCAATTTATTTTATACGGAAATGCAAGTTATACTTTATAAAATGTGCACTTAATTTCGCATTTAAACTGTGATTCTTTAGGCGACTGCCGTTTGCACGAAGATGGTTCACTCAGAGAATGCGCTGTTGTGAACGACGAAATTAAGCCTACCACAAAGACCAGTGGTTTACGCTCGTTTATCTGCGGTCCTCGTCATGTCGGACCAAGTCGGAGACATAACGCTTGGAGTGCATTTTACCGGTTCCAATATCACGCTTGTTCGTGAAAGCTACTTTGATGATGGAAATATGATCAACGACGAGCAATTGCCCCTAGAAAAACCTTACAGACCACGATATGTCTACTGGGATGTAACTACCGCTGCTCAAAAGCTACAAAACCTGTTATTTAGAGAAGCTTATCCGTTGACATTTACAGTCAAGTATACAGACATTAAAGAAGACTCACGTGATAGTGCAATTGACCTTAATAATGGTCTCAGCACACGTACAAATATTCTGTGGCCAGGAAGTCACATGGCATTGCAACTGTATACGGGACCTAGTTTGGAAGTAAACAAGATATATGGTGGTCGCAAACGCAGTCGTCGTTCGTCGCTCCAGAATAAAATGGATGACAAAATGCCAGATGGATGTCCCGGATTCAACCATCCTTATAGTACTCACTTTAAGTGTTGCCTATTCAAGTACGAATTGAACGGAAATCAAATCAGCAGCACCACCTTTACTCGACCATTTTTTCTCCCTCCAACTCTGGAGTTGAACATGTGTCGTGGACGGTGTGATCGTAAGTTTAAAGTAAACATTCCGTATATATATTGTGGAATACATGCATTAGGACAGAAAGGTTTTGTCAAGCACCTAAGACGACAGATTACCTTATTACAGCTTTATGACACGTAGTACAGCTTGTTCATGCTGCCACCAAGTACTCCTGTTTGCTCTATAGCGTTAGGAAATATACGATGTGGCGACTCGCAACTAAGCATCAATGCATTTGTTATAAGTTACGGCGACTAAGGATAGAAATGGCAACCTTTACGAATCTTACAGGTAGAAATTCGTCACATCTAGACTCACTCAGACAGCCATCAATGACCGGAAAAGCATTTTCCGCGCGTTCCATCCTTCCGGGAATCTTCCGCACTGCGCATTTGATCAAATCACGGTAGGGCTCGAATCCGCAACTCGACTGTGACCACTCTGTGCTCTGAGACCACTGAGCTACGGGGGACGGCAACGACCAACATAAATAAGTTACTAGATGTGATATAGCGCCGCTCACTATCCATTGACTTACGCGTTACTGCTGTGCAGAGAACAGGGTAGCCCGCCACCAAGCGAAGAGCTTACCAAACTTAAGCCGCCAATTAACTAATGGCATTATAATCGGTTTGGCCTGCGTAAATCTACTTCTTGAGTTATTGAGGATCACGTAGCACGGAACTTATTCCAGTAATGAAACGAGTCTACTAGTTGGAAGAAGTAAGAGTCAGCTTCATGGAGAGTTATAAAATTCAAAGGGTAGTTGTATAACTTAGTGCGACAACTACCCATGATCATTCGTTACCATAGCCAACTAATATATGATGCCTAGTTGTATTGACAAATAGTTACTCTAAAATTACTTAATAGCCATCGGAATTTCGGTGAATCAAGAGGAAATACCTACTAGAATTACAGCAGAGTAGTAGGGGTTGAATGATAAAGTCAGAAAATCATCGCATCTAGACTTAGTCAGCCAGTCAGCACACACCCGGAAGAGTACTGAACAACCGTTTCTTCTTCTCAGTAATGTACTGTAGTACCCGTTTCATCTGACTCTTTTAGGGCTAGAACCCGCAACTCTACTGTTGTCAATGACTGGCTGAGAGCCTTGAGCTCCCTAGGATGGCGACGGCAGTCGTGACTAAATTAGTAGATTTCGGGCTGCGGGTTTGTTCTCTCAATGCGTCAGATAAAACTCGCACTGATGACGATAGCTGAAAGGAGGCACCGACCATACAGTATATTTCTGAGCTTGTTATAATGGCCTGATGTTATCTAGATGTGAGGACTTTCTTCCTATACCATTCAACTCTTCCACTATGCTTCTGTAAGCAGTACCGAGTTCAATGTTCTTATAACGCTAAATACTGGAATTTATTAAATATTGCTTAGTAAAATTGCGCTTGAAAAGTGTTACATAGGAAATAAGTGTGGAGAGCAAACGGCAATCTTGTTGTGTTCAAAAAGGGCGAAAACGTTACAATAGTGCACCAATCAACTATTGAAATCATTTGTATTCTTGATCACACCATGAGTACCATTTGCCGCGCTTTGCTCTCACTATTCATTATAGTGCTCTCAGTAGCCGCATCGCCCTCTTTCTGCCGAGTGGCGTGCAATTTTGATAGTTTACATTTGTACATATAACTGCGAGGGACAAAGGTCGGGTAACAAGTGCTGAGATGAACAATCATTGTGTACACTACCATAGTAATTGAGTGCAGTTTTAAAGACAACATGGTCGCTGAATGAATCGAAAGCAAAGTTGTTTTACTTGAACAACTTCTCGAAAGTTAAGGTAACACTAACCGGTACCAGGAATAGACAGTAGTAACCAATATTTAGCACAGTAGCTTGGTTACTAGGGCATTGAGTACCCAAGAATAAGTGGGATGAATACATCCTGCAAGTTTGTGAAGATCTTATTTATGTGCAATAAAAATATGGCACGAGTGCGGCTAGCTTAAAAGGTCAGCTTAAAGCGTTTACTCAACAAAAGCTAAAGTGGGTATATCATCTGTAGCGCACAAGTACAAATTCTTTCACTGATTGTTCTATATAAGTGTACCTGTAGCAAAGAAGACGAGGATTGGGCAAAAAACACTCTACGAATACCGTCACATACCACAACACTGCTGACAAATTGGGTCCACCGATGGCAAGCGCTGTGACAGTTTAGTTAGATTACCGACTCGCAGTGTGCCTAGACTGCAGTTTTGACGACATCGGCACACCAAGCTCTCTCTGGGACCCATTAGGAATCAGCAGCAACGCGAAAAAGGTAAATGATATAAGAAGGGTAAGACATTGAGAATGTGAGCCGAATTATTACATTGGTGGTATGCAGGAAAAGGTTACCAGATAACATAGGTTACTAGTTAGTAGCTGCAAACTGGATATTTTGGAACAATTGTACCATCATCCTATAAAGGAAACTAGAATAGTCGTGTCCTTTCAGGCCCACTATCTTTAATTTTTTGCTCCGTATACTTGGGGTATATACTAAAGGGAAGGTTAAATGTGACGGCATAGCTAGGCGGCGTAACGGAATTATATGTTGCTGACACACATTTCACTGTGTATTTTTTCGTCTTAAGGAATAAGGAGAAATTGCATGTTGTGCATGTCTGTGGATACGTTTGAGATATTTTAGGCAAGCCAAAATTATATCAAAGTACCTTTTGAAGTCAGCGGCGCAGAACGGAATCATACCATTTTCGCATCCTCTGAAGTAAAGCAGTCAAAGGAAATTCATTACTTTAGAATCAAATGATGCAATTATTGTGATTATGTAACAAATGGTATTGCTCAAATCTTGTCCCTTGACATTCAACTTCCATTTAAAAACATTACATTAAGATTCACTTATTACAGTGTTATACATGTGCCCAAAGTTAAGATGCTCACGCATAAACACAATCCATCCCAGGACTGCGGATAGCAGAATCAATTATGTGACGGCACTGGGCAGGCAAGTGCAATAACACGGTAGATGCATAGGCTACAATTTCTCTTGGGCTATCGAATCACTTAAATGCTAACTTGAATAAACAAGCACATGCGGAAAGATCAGAACAATTGCTTAGCCGTTTCGGTTATGAACATCAACGGAAAGTGCTAGTTTTGTTTAGATTTAGTTAGGCTAAGTGAAATCTATTTGAGCCGCTATGTTCCGGTGTTGAAGGTGCAGATATCTTCGCCAGGTTACAACAGTCAATGATATCTACTGTGCTGGATCTGAGCTCTAGTTAACAGCGACTAGCACTAAAGTGAGAAGGTTACGTAACGTGAAATTCACCTGCATGCCTTTTGGGTAGTCTTGAGTGGAGGAAAGCGTTCAGACTATTCTACTGTGGCAATAGCTGAGAAGACAACCGTATGGGAAATGAAAACTAGCTGAAGCTCAAGCCGAAGACAAAGCACTGTGGCCGTCAAGAAGCAGCTTTGGAACGAAAGCGATAAGCAGAACCATATAACAGAATACAGAAATGTTTGATTGAATTGGCTTCCATGACCGCCCCGCTCTCTTCGATTCAGAAGAGTTATGCTGATTGAATATAAATTAGCAAGATTCTACGTTAAAATAAGCATTTACTCTTCATCAGCCGCCTGTTAATATTGCTGTCAATGTGCTAAAATATTTTGTCTGACGCGGTTACACTTGTTATGTGGATTAGTGTGTCACTTGAAGAATCGAATTTCAAGGGCAACCCGATATATGTTGGGTGAACTGAAGGACAAAACGCAACGATTCCAACCTCCGAATATTTGCACACTATAAGCCTTCATTTGTCGCGCGTTGAAAGCTATAAAGCAAGGTTAGCAGAAATGGGATAAGAAACAGGTTTAGATTTCTGTGCCCTAATTGTCATGTTAATGGAACTACTTGCTTTGGGAACGCAGTTATCGGGGACACAGTACTTATTCACCACGGCTAGAGTAAACAAGTTTTGAAGATTGCCAACTTATTAAGTATTGTCTCCAATTGGGAACAAAGTCACTTACAATCACTCCATTGCTTTATAATTGCTTGGCCATTACTCTGATAAAGTTAACTTGATATGTCATTGCATTTAGGTTGACGAACATTGTGTGTGTCTTGTATTAACATGCAGTACAATTTCGCGACGTGTGTTTGATTGTGCTCCTGTGCCATCCAAAATTTCTTGTCTCCCATATTGTCCTAAAACCACATTGTTCCCGTTTGGTTGGTACCACTTTTTCAACTCAGTGTACGCGTTATTAAAATAACCCAAGCCATTAAAGGTTGTAGCTGGAGGATTAAAGTAGCGTCTATAATTGTTGCCGTCTTTTACCGCAGTGCGATTTTATATGTCGCAAATATGGTTCAAGGCCGAATGGGACACAGCGTACCCAAACAAATGCAATTATTTTTGTCATTTCACTACTAAGTGATATACTTTGGTCTACCTGATTCTGCGTAACTGACTTAGAAGATATTAGAGATAAGAAAGAGGTAGTGTTGTACCTATTTTAAAAACCAAGTATTTATTCAGTAAACAATTGTCTGTTGAGGGGCGAAACTGCCTTCGAACGAAAGTTCGCCTATCATAAAATAGAATAGAGAGATTACGCACACACACTATTCTAACATTGAAGCAATCTTACCTTATGTCTGATTATATTATATATAAGAGGATAAATGATGCCGCACGTGGTACTTGCGTATTTCTACTGTGGTGGCCTACTGAGCCCGGGAACATAGTATTATTTTAGTCAATCCGAATTCACTTAGAGTTCATCTGACTGGAATTTTATCCCTGAAGCTTTAACATCTGAACCTCGTAGACTGTTGTCATTTGTAAAACTAATTTGCCTTTCGCGCATTCCTTATTGCAATTTGTGCATTCAACGACACATTAATTCATTACAAGTCCTTTGCCTTGTAGACGATATTGTTGATGATGCATTGGGAGCATTGCATCAATCCGCCCCGTTAATTGCTTTGTGGAAAAATTTAAATGCGATGCTATATATCTATGACTACATCCATCTAAGTTTTAAGTGCTTTAGCAATTAACATATTCCAACTATAAATAGCGGCATCACAATGACAATACCGTAACGAGATTTCTCCATTTCTATTGTCTTTACAGTGCTCGATGTACCAGTGGACAATCAACACACCACCCTTCTCTCTCAGTACTATCGAGGGCTACCGAAGCAGGACCAAGTGGTGGTCCGAAGTTTTATGCCTTGTTGTGCGGCTGACAAGGCCAGTGATTTGGTCATATATTACTACGATGCAGATAAGAATCTTAAAAGGGATATCCTACCTCGGGCTATAAAAAGGAGTTGTGTTTGCAAATAAATTATTTTAAGAATAAACATTCATTAGTTAGCCACGATCATCCATTGATTTCCCAACAAAATATAATTCATGCTTCTTTTCAGCTTTTTCGTTGTAAGGATTGTATGCAAGTGGGTGTACATATCGGCCCAGTGTGGCGCACTCATAAGGGTTCGGTCACACGAAAGGAAGACTATTGTTCAGTGCATCACACGAAGAGATCTCTCGTTTGATATTTCTAGATGTAAGTATATACAGAGTTGCACATATTAATTTCGTCCGTAACTGCACCTGCGCTGGACGCTTAGTGCGTATGCAAGGACCTGGAGATTCATACGCTCGAATGTTATGTGATGTATAAAATATAAACAGTTTCATTTGGTAGCAATCTAATCAACCAGTCTTATTGTCGCGTTTTGGACAGCTTTGGTTATATATACATACATCTGGGACGCGACCTGAAGGCTTCATTCTACGCCTCCGGAACATTCTTTCATTTTTACCTAAGCTTGGTTTTCTGGGCTACCCGCCGGAATGGCAAATTTTAAATTTTCAAAAAAATTATAACACGCTTTTCTATCTGCTTTTTGCATTGTTACAAATGGCTATTTACTCTTGCGAACATAACCTCGAACGGTTAAAAAGTAAATAAAACTTGGCTGTGAATATTTTCGGTAAGCTTGTTACCAACTTTTTAGATTTCTCCACCTATCTGCGCATGTTCTCCATATTTTCGTCATTTTTGCCAACAATGCGTCTTTTATCCCCATGGACGGTGGTGAATGTATGGAATGACCAACCGCAGCACGTAGTTGAGTCAAAGTCGATGTCGGAACTTAAGATATTCCTGGACAAACAATTTGCGCAACAGAACATAACGGGTATTTGTCCCTGAGTGATACTAGATGCAGCTACACAGAGCAAACTCTACTTGCTGCTTCCAACCAGTAACCAATAACCACTCAAATCTTTAAATTATCTGCTTGTCGGCAAATATATAGAGTTAAATTTCGCCCCGTCGTTGCAGCAACAATGTGCAGGTTTTCGCCTAACTCCTTGACATTTTATAACTTTCAACACAAGAGAAATTGCAGAGAGAACAAGTCAAAATAAGCATCCGGAACAGGGGCTGGGAACATTTTTATCATTGCACACTTACACTGCGGTGATAGTGAGGAAAAACATTACCATACAATTGAAATTGATGACAACAAGAAGAAAGCACACATACACACCAAGCAAGGAAGAGTACACACGTAGGGGATGCAAAGTTTCTTGGAGTTTAAAGAAGACATGATGAGTAAGGTAAGGTAGTGTTGTGGTAGCATGTGCAGAAAAATAAAACCCAATGTTTAGTGCGGGTTGATGTGCAGAAGCGGGCTATGGAGAAATAAGCGTGAACAGGGTGAAAATCATCATTCAACGGCTTCCCTAAAAAGTACCAACCTGCACCAAAATTCTTAGTAACCATGACAACAACCAGAGTCTCTGGACAATACGATAAACCTACAATGAGCTTAATGATACACGCAATCTGTGTGAAGTCCTTTTGCAGGGGACCAAGATAAACGATGGATGCTCAGTGTACCCACGGTGGCAGAATACACGAAGTTACGAAATTTCTAATTAAAGAGCAGTGTTTTGAAAGCATATTGAGTCTCAGAGCATAGAAGAACAGAGCCTGCAATAGCAGAAAGTTTCATCACCATGTGTTAAACAAGCTTTGTTGTGAGATAACTAAACACCAAGGTACTTACCAGTGTATAAATTAAGTACCTTGCGGACGCTTACAGCTATGGGCCGGGTGATTGCAACCGTTAGACGTCTATAATATCAGCGAAAAGAGAAAGTTATATCTTGGCATTTAGAAGCATTGCTAGTGAGGGATGGGAAGGACGACAGCCTGGAGCTCGTGAAATCCAGATTCATGAGGAACAAGCCGGGGTTCATCGGAATCGTAGCTACATCGACCAAGCCTTTCTTTTGCGTCAATTGTTGGAACACTCTCATACATATTGGCAGTCCACCGTAGTCATGTTCCTCGACAGCAGAGGTGCCTTCGATTCGGTTGATCAATGCACATTTTGGAACTGTCCACTCAGGATACGTGTGCCCGAGACATTTGTTAATATTTTCCGAGAATTATAGGCGTAGCACGGGGAGAGTGTGGGCTTACCACAAGCTGTATATGACCTACGGTGTATCCAGCGGTGTAAGACATGTTTGCCAAATGTCACCTTTCCTCTCCAACTTCTCTTTTGTGGAAGCCATGATGATTGCAATTACAGAACATGACTTAGAAGGGGCGGAGCTAATCCCAAGACAAGGACTTCTTGACTTGGAGTATGCAGACGATTTTGCTGTCATATGTGAGAGCTCCCATACGTGCCAAACTGCACTGGACAATTTGGCTCTGGCTGTCAGCCGCTTCTGGCTCTGTTTTGCAACATCGAAGTGAAAAGCTTCCGTTATGTTTGTCTGGGATTGTCGGCCGTGATCCGTATTGAATCCTAGCTAGAAGGCTTTCAGAAATACAATTACCAATGAGGTTATATCAGCCTTGGGACTGAAGATCAGATCACGAACCGTATAGCAAGAGCTCGAGGTGCTTTTGCTAGCCTTCGCGACCTGCGGTGGTGGCACAACATCCTCTTCGCCCTGAAGTGTAGAGTGTACAATGTAGCCGTACGTACGACCTTACTGTACAGTTGCGAAAGCAAGCCCCTTAGATCAGTGGACATAAAGAGGCTGGTAACGCTTGACGATCGGTGACTTCATAATTTGTCTCCTACATGGTGGGAAGACCGCATAACCAACGAGCTTGCTCGACGCCTTGTTTAAGGTACAGGGAAACTAACCGAACTGCTCAGAAGGGTCATTTCACGCACCGCTCCGATTGCTCGGACACTTGTTACCCATGCCAGACAACTGGCGCCCGCGACGTGTGTTGTTTGCTCTCCTAGGAGTGTGAATGGAAGATGAGGAGAGGTTGCCAAGCGACGACTTCGTCAAGGGAATGCACCTGACATCGGATGGAGAGTTAAGGCTCCTTCGTTGGGGTCCAGAAGACGATGAACACGTTTGACTAGATACACATACTGACATGACTAGGAGTCAAACTCAGTGTCCTTCCTACTGACGTGTATAAAGCTAATGATGATGGGATGACAACCACAGTTGAAGTCATCCAGCCCGGTCTGCTGGACCTTCTGAGACTCAGCAGTTAAAGCAATTCTGTCTAGGGCTACGTCATCTGCGTATTTATATCAAATAACTTTAGGGAAATGGTAGCATTTCGATGTGTAGAGCAAAAGCGGTTAACAAACTAGTTGTTCATCAGGTTGCAGGCTGTTGGTTGAACACCGTTCGCAGACAGCTGACTGAACAACTTTGGTCTATCGGATCTCTAAAATGCATTGGTGTATTCATGGACAAGGAGCCACGCATTCTTGCATTTCTCGTCCAATGAAGATGCTATTTAGTGAACAAGGTCAACTAAGGTATAAAATCTGAAACGTCGGAGTCTGTAAGCAAATTACGTTAAGTCCATGGCCGAGTCACTTGTTGCGATCCAAGGAACATGTGATCTCTGGAAGACTTACAGAACGCCAGCTATACAGATGCTCGGCCAGAATTGCTTGGACCTCCTTTTAGCATGCAATTAAAGGGTGTCGTACTTAATCGAATGTATATATCAGAAAACAAGCACATCGCAGCATTACTTAGTGAAACCCAGCCGTTTGCTAAAGAAACACCTCAGCTACCGCGCAATATGTAGCGACCGGCTAAATCCACTACGTGTGATGACTACCTTTCCAAAGAGATGTGGCGTCGTCGACTTCAACCAGAGTGTATTACTTGCATCCCGCTGCTGGGAAGGCACTTTTAGCTGGGGGACACCGTTACTCATAATTAGGAAACCTCCAGCAAGCCAATTGTTAAGCAATCACAGATGACACCAGAAGACATTAATGCCAGCTATCACTACGTTGAATACAAGGGCTAACGAAGATATCCCATGAAAATTAATACAATATTCTTCAGCGAGTCGATGCTGTTTGTCATGTTACAAAACTGCAATTGCAGTACCAGTTGCTAGTACCACAAACGACCCTAAAAAACAAAAGATTCAGTAGCTAACTCTTTGCTTCTTCACATAATTTATAGGGAACATAGATGCCTGGTATGTACAGGCACAGAAAGTAGTTGGCGAACATAGTCGCATACCTACATCACCGATCAAAAATCGGTGAATAGCTGTTTGATGAACATTTGAACAGCAGTCATTGCCATTCATAGTGAGTTGAAAGAACGGAACATAAAAGGTATTAGTCCATCAGAGGCACGCAAAGTCCAAATCACCTAAGTGTATAGTCAACGCTCACAAACCTCCAATCAAAGCTCGCAAATTTGCTCCGAATATGTTATCCACGTCGCGAATTACTAGACGTAAACATCATCCACAACAGTCTGAAACAACCCCTTAAAATTACATCGAAACGCGTCGTGGTTGTGCAGTGTTTTCTGGTGGGCAACACCCAATTTCTATCTGCTTTGAGTACGGTCCCAGTGATCGCCGTGACTAAGGCTCACTTCAATGTGAACCACAGTCCACTATACTGAGATTGCGCGTCGCAATCCAATCACACAACGTGTAAGTCCAAACTTGACCCTCCAATTAGTCATTACCCTTGTGACAAATAGGGTTGCCCACCGTGACCCGGTAGCCAAAGGGGTAGTGGTGTGGGCTGCTATTCCAATGGTCGTGGGTTCAAATCCTGCTGTCTCCACCTGATGAGATGAAAATTACATCGAAACGCGTCGTGGTTGTGCAGTGTTTTCTGTTGGACAACACCCAATTTCTATCTATAGTTGTAGGTGATTTAAAGCTATCGAAGATGCACTGGTCTTCTCCAAACCTAATCTCTATGCACAGAGCCTTCATTTATTCAGTCAGAGATGGTTGGATGCAGTGGGCTTCTATACCAACTAGATTGGCGAACACGTTAGACGTGATGTTTACATCGGGTAACAAATATTTTACCTGTGTTTTATTATGCAAGCACGGTTGTCTC